GAGTATATATATGGAGTTTTTCCAGGAAGAGGCAACAACTTTAATGCAGGTGAGACCATGACAAGCAGGAAAGAGTACACTACAATTGATAAACAGTTTCTACTTGTGCACAGTGTCTTGAATTTCTTGGCCAAGCAGAGCCTAAAAGAGGCCATATGATCAACAACCTGAAAATTGCTGACTCCCGAATATAAGCTAAAAAAAAAAAAAGTGACCTTCTTTTATGATTTAGCAAGACAGAACACATGCTGACAAAGGTTTAGAGGGACCCAAGACCAAGTTTTAGCAATTGCTCCTAGACAAATTAATTACCACTCCAACAAAACTCCAACCACCCAGGGCTGACTCATGGTGGGGGCTTGTCAGAGCTATGCTTCCATTCCTTTCTTATGAAGCGCTTCCTTCTACATTCAACAGACACAAGGCAGTCTGGAACAAAGCCAAACTCCATGAGGCAAGCATTTTTATAAGTGGATGAAGACAATGGAAACTAAAGCAAGTAGCAGAATAAGAAGCAGATTAATGGCAAGGATGTTTGCTAAATGGTGCATCTCCAAAACAAAAGATCCAACTGCCTATATAAATTTATATTTCTTTATAAATTATAGAAAAATGAAATAAATCCACTAAAGAGAGCTCAGTAAAATACATCAGAGCTCAAATCACGTTTAAAAAATAAAATCCCATGACATGACACTAAGTCTAGGAGAAAAAAAAGAAACCTCACCTGGCAGCAGATCCAAAAGACTATTGGAGATTGGGGCTAAATGGACCTAGTGAGTGCCCCCACTTTGACCAAAAAATCCACACAATGGGGATATCTGTATGTGTCTAGCCTGCATCGTATCTAACTACAGAGAACAGCTTATGTGCAGAAAGTTAAAAATCAGTTAGTGGAAAGGAGAAAGGAGATCTGTTGGGCATAGCTTTTTTCCAACAGTCAGAGAAGGTTCATGTGTTTATTCAACAAATATGTATAAAGTACCTATTCTTTGCCCATCCCTGGGCTGAATGTTGAGGATACAAAAGTGAATAAAATACTGTCCCTGCTTCCATGGACATTTGTCTATCTTGTGTCTTGTTCACTGCTATATCTCCAGCATGTAACAGTACCTCCTGCACATGGCAGGTTTTCAGTAAATACATGTTAAATAAATGAAGAAGAAGAAAAAAAAAAACTTGGCTGGGCTCAGTGGCTAAAGCCTATAACCCAGCACTTTTGGAGGCTGAGGCAGGAAGATTGCTTGAGCCCAGGAATTCGAGACGAGCCTGCGCAATATGGCAAAATCCCACCTCTACCAAAACAAAACACAAAAACAGACTATAACCGGGCATGGTGGTGCGAGCCTGTATTCCAAGCTACCCAGGAGGCTGAGGCAGGGAAATCGCTTGAGCCTGGGAGGCTGAGGCTGGAATGAGCCCTGATGGAGCCACTACAGTCCAGCACAGGTGTCAGAGTGAGACCCTGTCTCAAAAAATAAAAAACAAGAAAAAAAAAGAAAAAGGAAAAAGCTCATGAACTAGTATCCAGACTGTCAACAATAGGCGGTTACAAGACAATGTTTCAGCAAGTATTTATTGAGCATTTACCATGAGTTAGGCAGTCACTGTACAATAACAGGCTGTGATACAGGAAAACATGGTGGGCCAGCAGGGGAGTGCTGTGGGAGCACAAGGGAGGGACTCCTAACTCATCCTATGCCTTCCTATAGCCCCTGAGCTGAATCCTGGAGTTCGATGACTGAAGGATTGAGGTGAGAACATCCCAGGCAGAGGGAACAAGATGTGAACAGGATCCATTTAGTAAAAGGTGATTGGGTGAGCTGCCTATACAGCATCTCTTATGGCTGTAGGGCGGTGAGTGCAACCCAGAGAAAATGAGGCTGAAGAGAATAACAGTGGTGATCACAAAAGAAGTTGGATCTGCAGACTTGGGGACCCCCTTGGTGGGGCGGAGGGTTGTTGGGGCAGAAGAGAGATAGGATTTACATGTCTACCAGACAGCTCTAGCTTTAGGTGGAGGCAAACAAGCCAATGAGAAAGTTTAAGCAGTGGTCCAGGTGAGAAGAGATGGTGGCTTACACTATGGTGAAGGAAATGGCAAAGGATTGACTGGACAGACAGACTGAAGAGATATTTGGAAATTAAAATTCAAAGACTGATGAACGTGAGCAGACAGCAGGAGGCTGGCAGGCTTCTGACTCTAGAGACAGAGTGAATAATAGGACCATACCATAAAATAGGAAACATGGGAAGAAGATAGATATGCTTTGCAGCAGATGGGAAAGAAAAATAGTCCCAACCAGTAAACAGAGAGCAGAACTAAAATTGACTCATGAAACCATCAGAGTCAGCTTAGCAAGTGAATGAGGTAAGCTGTGTCCTACAGCTTGTGATATTCCTGGCACGAAAACGACCCCCCACCTCTCTACTGCCCCCAGGGTCTGCAAATGCTTTTACTCAAGACAAGAACACATGCTAGTTTATTCTACAAACACCCTCAGTTTTTATTCTACAAACAATTATTGACTTCCCACACTGCGCTAGGTACTGCTCTAGACACTGAGAATAGAACAGTAAACTAAAGAGCAAAAATCCATGACCTCATGTGACTTCTAATTTAGTGGGAAGAAGCAGACCTTAAGCACAGTAATTTAGCAAATAATGTAAAGTGTTAGGAAATGAAACTGGGCACGGTGACTCACACCTGTAATCCCAACACTTTGGGAGGCCAACATGGGAGGATCACTTGATTTCAAGACCAGCCTGGGCAACAGAGTGAGACCCCTTCTCTTAAAAAAAAAAAATTAAGAATTTGCTGGGCATGGTGGCATGCACCTGTAGTCCCAGCTACTCAGGAGGCTGAGGCAGGAGGAGCCTAGAAGTTCAAGGCTGCAGTGAACCATGATTGTGCCACTGCACTCCAGCCTGAGCATACAGCTAGACCCTGTCAAGAAAGAGAGAGAGAGATTGAGAGAGAGACAGAAGGGAAGAAGGAAGGAAGGAAGGAAGGAAGGAAGGAAGGAAGGAAGGAAGGAAGGAAGGAAGGAAGGAAGGAAGGAAGGAAGGAAGGGAGGGAGGGAGGGAGGGAGGGAGGGAGGGTGGGAGGGAAAGAAAACGTCTGCAAAGAAAGCAAGGAAGAAAGGAAGAGTTAGGAAGTGTTGGGGTGCTGGACAAGGGGGTATAATGTTAAATACAACCAAGAAAGTCTCACTAGAAAAGGTGACATTGAAGCAAACACTTGAAGGTAATGACAGAATGTTGTAATCTAAGAGAACTGAATTCCAGGCAGAGAGTAAAACAAGCACAAATTGTTGAGTTGAGAGCTTGCTGTGTTTTAAAACTCAGCAAGGGGGCAAATGGAATTGGGGAATTGAAGGAACTGAAGACAGAGTTGGTGATGAGGGTTGTGAGTGGACAGGAGGGAAGAAGGATGATTACATTACGGAATATCTTAAGACCCAAGTGAGAATTTTGGTTTTTCTTCTGAGGAATATGCGAAACCACAGAACAATTTTGGAGGAAAGAAAGACTAAGAGAAAAAAATCTTTTTGACTCACTCCTGCAATCCCAGCACCTTTCAAGGCCAACGTAGGAGGATCACTTGAGCCCAGGAGTTCAAGACCAGCCTGGGCTACATAGGGAGACCCTGTCTCTATAAAAACTACAAAAATAAGCCAGGTGTGGTGGTGCATTCCTGTAGTCCCAGTTACTGGGGAGGCTGAAGCAGGAGGATCACTTGAGCCCAGGAGTTTGAGGCTGCTGTGAGCTGTGATCACGCCACTGTAATCCAGCCTGGGTGACAGAGTAAAACTCTGTCTCAAAAAAAAAAAAAGGTTTGCATTTACTCCCACGTATTTGCTATTTCTTATCCTATTCATCCCTTTCTGTAAATGTGAATTTCCATCTGGTATCATTTTCCTTTGATTTTTCAGCATTTTTTTGCAGGCTGGGTCTTCTAAAGAGAAATTCTCTCTGTTTTTGTTTATCTTATAATGTCTTCATTTTGCCGTAAATATTGAAGGATGTTTTCATGGAATATGAAGTGAAAGGTTTACAGGTTCTTTTTTTCATCTTTATTTATTCCAGTTGTTTTAAAAGCCTGCTCTTTAGTTTACTTTTTGGCCATTTGACTAAAATGTGCCTAGGTGTGATTTTCTTTTTGTTTTTCATGTTTGGTGCTCACTGAGTACTTACGTTGATGCTTTCTATCAAATTTGGTAAATTTTCAGCCACTCTTGCTTCAAACATTTTTTCTGCCCTTGGTCTTTCTGAGAGTCCAGCAACGCGTGTATGTTACACAGCTTGGTAGCATCCCGCAAGGTCACTGGTGTACCCTTCATCCTTTTTAAATCTTTTTTGCTTTCTCTGCTTCAGTTTGGATAATTTCTATTGACCTTTTTGCAGGTTTACTGATCATTGCTTTTGCTTTGTCCAATCTGTAGTTAACCTTATCCAATACATATTTTCTTCAGATACTGGTTTTTATAGAACTAGAATTTCTATTTGATTCTATTTCAGTTTTCATTTCTTCCTTCCATATTATATCTCTCCATCTACTATTCCCATTTTTTCCTGTCCTTGGAAGTTTTGAGCTGAAGATGACATGATACATTTTAGCAGAACTACCCCACCTTTTGTATTAATTATGGAGGAAGTCCAGGGTAAGAGAAATAAGGAGACCAGTTAGGAGGCTATTGCAGTAATTCAGGCAAGAGATGATGGTGGCTCCGGCCAGGGTATGGCAGTAGAGAAAATGAGACTCAAGTGCCTATAATGAAGGCAAAACTCATAAAGCAAAGTGAATGAGGTATTGTGAGGGACGCCTGACCAATACCATGATCAGAATTTCCTTTTAAAGGGGGGTTTTGCCACAAGAAGGGGAGTGAGAACAGAATGTATCCAGAGATCTGAAAAATTTGATACACAAATAAAGGAATCTGGGACTAAAGCAAGGCCTTATAATCCTAGACCTTCAAAACTAGAAAGATCCTTGAAGAGATCATCTAGCCTAACCTCTTATTACTGATGAGGAGCCTGAGACACAGAAAGAAGCATGGACCTACCCAAAGCCATCCAGCAAATTAGTGGCAAAACCAGAATTTAAAGCTATGAGTCCATATGCTTCCTTTCCATAGGACCTGGACCAGCTGGGATCATTTGAGGCCAGGAAGCCACATGAAGAGAAGGGAGGAAAATGGAATGACCATTGATTGAGCACTTATCGTATACCTAGCACCACAGGAGCTACTTTTCATATACATGATTCTTTACTCCTGCAAAGTAGGCACTGCTATTCTCATTTTTCACATGATAAAAGTGAAGTTCAAAAAGGGTAAATAATCCACCCAAGAACATGCACCTGTTAATGGGGTAGGACACAGAGCTATCTGAAACCTGAGCATGTTTACGTGCATGTCTGCATGAGGTGGGATTTTGCTGTCATCAGATCCTATCTGGAGTGTGAACGCAGGTGAAGGACTAGCATTTTTCAGCCACAGTCTTATGTTTACTTAGGAAACAGCCCAGCCCAGTGAATTGGGCTCAAACTCAAGATTGGCTGATTCAACAAGGCACCCCTGCAGACAAAGCTGGCAGAGTAGAGATTTCAACTCCTTTCCATGGGTAAGAAAATTTGTAGAGAATAGGAAAAAAAAAAAAAAATGGCCTAGGCGGAAGGGACTGGATCTGCTGGCCATGGGAAGCTACAGAAGATTTGGGAGAGGGGAGGAGTATTATGTTAATACCCTGGGAGAGGCTGACCCAATGATACCCCCCCACCCCGCCACCACAGTCAGTTTCCAGTAGGCATCTGGAATTCAGATTCCAGAACCCATGCCCCTGATTCCTTTGCCTCCAACAGCAGCCCACCAAAACCTGATCTCGAAGATCTTCTGTTTATGCTGCAGGGACTGTCAGGAGCCCTATGCCATGGATGACTCCAAGGTTCCCAGTCAAACCCAAGAGCACAAGCCATCGACCCAAAGTAGGTATCAGATAAGGACACTCTGCATGGCCCCTCTATACCTCAGTTTGCTCACTCTCTGCCTGCTGGGATACCCCCAAACTGCCTTCATCTTTTGAGTGATAATTCCGATTTAAAATGAGGTGGGTGATAGCTAAGTACTCAAACCAATAAAAAAGAGAGCTTAAACTCTTGTACTTAAAGTGTAGTCTACAGACCAGCAATACTGGCATCACTTGGGGGCTTGTTACAAATGCATTTTCAGACCCTGCTCCAGACCTACGGAATCAGAACTGGCACTTTAACAGGATCTCCAGGTAAATTTGAATATACATTATAGTCTGAGAAACACTGGATTAAAGACTATAAAAATAGTGGGTTAAGATCCCTGTTTTGGGGGCAATACATGCTAGTTCAAATCTCAGTTCTGCCACAGAAGTTGGGCAAGTCTCTTGACCTCCCTGAGCCTCACTGTCCTTACCTGTAAAATAGGGCTATTCACAATACATTATTATTTTTCAGGATCAGTGGGAGGGTAAAATGAGGCAATATAAATAAGCATCTAGCTCAGGGTCTGGCACAGAGTAGGCACTCAACATACAGAAACAATATATAGGTATTGATCATGTTCTGCTGCTAAAACAAATAAGCCTTGAAATCTCAATGGTTTACAAAATAAAAATGTATTTCTTGCTTACACAAAGTCTAGTACAAACCAGCCATCCCCCTTTTAATCTGGGCCTCTGGAACATGAGGCTTCCTAGGCTACCATGTCAAGGGAAGACAGAGAGACAGAGAAGGCACCCTGGCCTTCAATTTGTAATCAAAATCTTCTCAAAGATCCAGGAAAAGAGATCAAGCAGAGAGGATCAGGGATCAAAATCAACTATTTCAGACAGGGGGAAAAAAAAAAAAAAAGGAAGCATTGTTGTCAAAATCAGCCAAATTTAGGACTCACACAAGTGGGAGGGGGTGAGCACAGATGGCCAGGAACCTGGCAGACCCCCATTGAGAGACAGGATAGCACAATGATTTGTTTTGACAGAAATCCACATGTGAGGGTCTTTAAAATACTTTCCCTGGAAGTAGAGTCACAATAAAAATCAAGAACCTTAAAAATATGAATGCCTTTTCCCAAGGGAAGGATGATGATAATTACTGAGAACCTATAGTATGCAAAGCACTGTCTAGGCACTGGGAACCCAGCTGTGATCAGATAAATCCCTTACTGTTTCAGAGCATATATTTCACATTTTAACAGTAAAATGATATTATTTAATCCCCACCATAACTCGAAGAAGTGGACATTAGTATTCAAATTGAACATACCATTTTGCAGATATGAATGTAGAGGCAGGCGGGGGTTAAGCAAATAGTTAAGGTATGCAGCTAATAAATGACAGAGCTGTCTATCACAGAACACAGCTCAGACTGTCGACAAAATTCATTGTTGTTCTTCTAGAAACCTAGAAGTATATAAAGACAAAGTCTCATATACAACAATGTTCATCGCAACAGTATTTATGGTAGAAAAATTTGGGCTGGGCACAGTGGCTCACACCTATAATCCCAGCACTTTGGGAGGTAGGAGGATCACTTGAGTCCAAGAGTTCAAGACCAGCCTGGGCAACATGGGAAGATCCCACCTCTACATATAATAAAAAATTAGCCAGACTGGGCACGGTGGCTCATGGCTGTAATCCCAGCACTCTGGGAGGCCCAGGTAGGTGGATCACCTGAGGCCAGGAGTTTGAGACCAGCCTGGCCAACATGGAGAAACCCCATCTCTACTAAAAATACAAAGTTAGCTGGGCATGGTGGCACATGTCTATAATCCCAGTTACTCAGGAGGCTGAGGCAGGAGAATTGCTTGAATCCGGGAGGTGGAGGTTGCGGTGAGCCGAGATCACGCCATTGTACTCCAGCCTGGGCAACAAGAGCGAAATTCCGTCTCAAAAAAAAATTAGCCAGGTATGGTGGCACACACCTGTCATTTCAGCTACTCAGGAGGCTGAGGTAGGAGGATCGCTTGAACCCAGGAGGTCGAGGCTGCAGTAAGTCATGATTGCACCACTGCACTCCAGCCTAGGTACCAGAGTGAGACTCCCTCAAAAAAAAAATAAATAAATAATTAAAAATCCAACATTAGAACTTTGGTTAAATAAATCTTACATTATTCAAAAACTAGAATATTGTACAACCATTTTTAAAAATTATTGACATGAAAAAAATATTTATACCATAACGTATATAAATAAAGTCAGATGCAGGGCTGGGTGAGGTGGCTCACATCTGTGATCCTAGCACTTTGCGAGGCTGAGGCTAAAAGATTACTTTGAGGCCAGGAGTTCAAGACCAGCCTGGCAACATAGTGAGACTCCCGCTCTCTACAAAAAAAATTTAAAAATTAGCTGAGCGCAGTAACACATGCCTGTAGTCCTAGCTACTTGGGAGGCTGAGGCAGGAGCATTGCTTGAGCCTAGGAGTTTGAGGTTACAGTGAGCTATGATCACACCACTGCACTCCAGTCTGGGCAACAGAGCAGATCCTTGTCTCAAAAAATAAATAATAAATAAGTAAAATTCATCCATAATACATAGGATATGACGGACTATGTAAAATATGCATAGGAAGAGACCAGAACTGTGGTAATAACTTGGGGAAGAGGTGTTTGGGGTCACTTTTTTCTCTTTTATACTATTCATTATTTCCTAACTTTTCTATAAAGCATATATATGCATTACATTTATAAATGGAAAAAAGTTAATGTCTTAAAAGGAATACATACTTTGCCCTGAATTGATCATTATACATTCTATGCACGTAACAAAATTTCATATGTAGCCCATAAATACGTACAAATATAATGTATTATTTTAAAATACACACTTTGAATTCAGCACCTACTTGTGAGGGGAAGCCCTCAGAGGACAGGAGGTGGTAGTTTCAGGTACACCCCCACCCCATAGTAACCCCCACTTGCCTTTGTGCACTGCTTCAGAGCCTGCGAAACACCTTCACTTCCGTGATCTCACCTAAGCCTCCCCACGTGACCCTGTGGAATTCTCATTGCCAGATTTGCAGCTTCAGAAGGATGAGCTTGACAGACAAAATCCCAAGCGCATTAACGCAGTCTCCCATTTGCCTTCGAGAACACCCCTGATCCAGCCAAAAAAGAGCACTTCCTCCAGCAGCAGTGAGTTTGAGGGTGAGTCCCAAATTGGGGTCCTAACGCTGACCAGAAACCCCTACCCAGGGAGCCTGGTCCTGATAACCAGACCCCATTGATATTTCAGCTAAGCGAGATGGGGAGATGGAATCGCTCCCATCAAGCAGCCCCAGTCATATTCCAGAGCACACTGGGGAGACCCTAGAGTCTAAGACCTGACTCCACTATCTTCCAAGCTAGGAAGAGGATGAGGAGGAGCAGGTCTGGGGGGAAAGGGCACACATCCATGCTTTCCTTTCAAAGCTTGGTGGCATCATCTTTTTTTTTTTTATTTTTTTGAGATGGAGTCTCCCTCTGTTGTCCAGGCTTGAGTACAGTGGTGCAATCTCTAATCTCAGCTCACTGCAACTTCCGCCCCCCAGGTTCAAGTGATTCTGCTGTCTCAGCTTCCTGAGTAGCTGAGATTACAGGTGCCCACCAACATGCCTGGCTAATTTTTGTATTTTTAGTAGAGAAAGGGTTTCATCATGTTGGCCAGGCTGGTCTCGAACCCCTGACCTCAAGTGATCCACCTACCTTGGCCTCCCAAAGTGCTGGGATTACAGGTGTAACCACTGCACCTGGCGGCATCATCTTATACATGTATTTTTCATATGCTTAGTTGATGTCTACTTTGGCCACTAGACAGTAAGTGCCAGTAGGGCAGGGCCCACATCAGTTTTGTTCCCTGTTATGCCCCCAGATCCAGCCAGGTGCATGGCAAGTAAACAATGCCAGAAAACACTTGTGGATTGAATGTAGTTCAACTGGGGGTGAAATGCCTCCGGGTCATGGAAGAACAGATGCCCAATCCCGGGACAGGGGCACAGCCCAGGAAGAAGAAATGCAGCCACATTGCTGGGCAGCAATTCTATCCCCAGGTGGTCTCACATAACTCACAGCCACCCCAGGAGTCCTGTTGAGAACTAAAGATTACCCAACCCAGTCATTTTGAAACCCCCTTGAAAACAACATTTCACAGAGTCCAATTTCTATAAAAGACGAAAGAGGAACAGCTCTGCTTGAATCAAGCTTGAGAAGGTAGGAACCCCACTACCTCACCCTCTCCTTCCTTCTGCCCTTCCCACCCCCTACAGGGGTGAGGTTCACAGAGGGTAAGGGACTTCCCACGAGTGTGCTAGGGAATGACGTAGGTGTCAGAGCCACGATGGGCCAAGTCTCCTACCTTCTATGCCACTGTGCTTTGCAAGACAGCTTACCGTCACTGAAGCCACCAGCGTAGCACAACGCAAAACACACTGCAAGAAACTCCTCCTATCACAAAAGTCTTCCAAGTCCTAAGCTAGGGGCTGCCTTGGGTCCCTTGGAATTCAAGAATCTGAGGAATGATCAGCAATGGATACAAACAACGAGAACAGTTCATCCAAGCCCTATTCAAAGGCCTTCACCCAGCATAATGTTTTCCTTTCTTCTTTCAGATCTGAATGCATATGCTTCCCAAAGAAATTTTTACAAGAGAAACTTAAACCGCTACTGCCAGGAGCGCTGGCCATTCCAGCCATGCCTCATTGGGAGGCCCTGAGCATTCTAGCCGGCGGCTGCACAGCTGCTGGGGCGCCTCCATGAGGAAGAGGGCGGTGGACAGGAGTCATGAAGATGAATTCGGAAACTCCCCTGAAGGAGGAGAAGACGTCTGAGCCATCCTTGGGCCACCAAGCAAGAGTCACCCCAGCTCCTGAAAAAGCCCCCATGGGAAGAGCTGCCTCCAATTAAAGTTCTTGATTGCACCAGAGGATGTGTCCTTCCTCTTTTCCTTTCCCCCTTACCAAATA